AGTTCCTTATGTGCTAACTAGTTCAATGTCCACTTAAGTATTTGTATTATTAAGTACTTCTCCTTTCACATTTAGGTTCCCCCACTTGCTTCAATACCAGCCTAGGAAGCCAGGCTCTCCTCAAGAGGGCCAGCATTCAATCCGTCCTGGGCAAGTAATTAAAGAGCATTACTGGTTTTTAAACTGTCTAATGTCACTGTGTTCCTCAGCCCACTCCACGCCTACGACGGAGGTGAGAGATCAACCCACTGAAAAGGCAAACAATTCGGTGCCCCAAACGCCGGAGACCGCGAAAACTCAACCCCAAACTCCCAAGGAGGTCCTCCATCAGAATCAGCAGCAAAATCAACAGCAGCGTCAACGCAATCATCCCCACCAACGCTATCGTGGACGCAATCGGCGCTAGTCCTTGGAAGCATATCCTTGTCATATCGTTCGATTTTCCTCCTAGCCAGCTAGCCGTTCTTCTATTTTTTTACATTCCCATATTGTTAGTGAATACTGCGAGTAAATCTCTGAACTTAACCGGTAGTCTGTACTTGAGCTTAGGCTAAACATATCACATTGAGTCGCCGACGGGTTCCAATTTGAAGCGAATATCACCGCAGGGTGACAGGACAATGGTGCTCTCGTACTCCATCGGAGTTTCGGGCAGCCAGCTGACCTTGTAGTTTCGCAAAAGTCGCGCCAGCAGCGTTTCGATCTCCAGCTCCGCAATCCTTTTGCCAATACAGGAGCGAGGTCCAAAGCCAAATGGCAGGTATACGAAGGGGTTGCGAGTTCGGGCTGCTGGACAAGCCAGGATATCCGGTGCTAAGTCGGTCTTAAGCCAGCGTTCCGGTATGAAGTCGGAGCTCTGGGCAAAGTAGTTATCGCTGTTGGACAGCTCCAGGACGCCCATCAGGACTCCAGTGCCACGTGGCACCTGATAGCCCGACAGCACCAGGTCCTTAGGAGTTATGCGAAAGTTTCCCGGCGTAATGGAGGTGATGCGCAGACCCTCTTTGATGCAGGCTCTCAGATAAGGCATGTTTTTGGTATTCACATCCGTCAAGGAGTCCTTTGGGCTGGGCATTATGCGGAGAAGCTCCCGACGAAGATTCTCTTGCTTCGAGGGATTGCGAGCCAAGTGATAGAGGATCGTCAGGCAAGCTGATGAGGTCTAAAAGAAGGCATATACTACTTAATCATGTCGCCTCTGTTGTATCTCTTACCGTATCAATTCCGGCCATAAGCATGTCCATAACCATGGTCACAGCCACCTTCTTGTTGAGTTCCAGCAACTGCTCCAAAACGCATTTTGTCTTACGGTCTTCATCGTTACCAAAGCGCTCCATTGCCGTCTCTATATAATTCGAGGTAATCTCGGTTATATCGTCGTAGGTTTTAAGGAACTTCCTAAAGCCAGCGGTTTTATAAAACGTCCAAATGGAGGGCTGGACATCATACTGGAAGCTATAGTTAAAAAAGTCACCCATATGCTTAGCCAGGCGGTCGGCACTGGGATCTGGATTGTCTGTAAGTAATCCCATACGGGTGTTCAGAGCCACAAGGCTAATGGACTCGAAGGCCCACATCTTTAGCTGATTGTGAAAGTCGGTGCTCAGAGTGTGGGTCTCTGGATTCCTTTGAGTTTCCAATCTAAAAACCGAAAATGCATTTACTTTGTATGATATTGTAGTGATATCAACTCCTACTTGTCTATAAACTCCTTAGATATCTCGTCTATTTGCGGTAGATTTTGCCGGACACTCTGAACTTTCAGAAGAACGGGATTAACCTTGTTGCGAATGTCAGCCCACTCCTGACCCTGACTAGAAATAAATCGCTTTAAATGCGTTATCCTTAAGAAGAGATTAGCTTACTCAGATACCAAGCCACCAACACCTTTGAAGATATCAGGTCTGTGAGTCTTGCGATAGTAGCTCAAGCTCTCCAGACCGATGCGAATGGGCCAAACACCCTCGTTGCGGTAGGTCAGCTCGAAGTCCTCCGGATTGTAAGTGAAGACCACGTTTGGTTTTCCCATCATTCCAGGAATGCAGTATATATCCCCGTACATCTCTCGCATGCGGCGGTTCATCTGAATCAAGTTTGTATTGCGAAGGGCGCCTGTGGGATTTTTGGGTAATGTATACTAATATAACATCAAAAATCTTGAACCGAATAGCTTACCGCCTGGCATGAAAAAGGATAGCATTCTCAAGGAGCTTGGACCAGGTATTTCTCCATACGGCCTGGCCTGTTGCCATTTCTCATCTTTGCGAGGCGTCGAAGTGTCTCCAATTTGCAACTGGGTGTGCGAAAATATGTAGTCATTGTTTGTAAACAAATTTGTGCTCTCTAAAAGCTCTTGCTCTTTGTGCCCACTTCTTACCTGCTGATTGAGTGTTCTACCAACAGTTAATTTCCTACCAATCCACAGCTGACTGCCCGGAACGTTCCGGTAGATTATTTTACAATGTTTCCACATTCTAAGTTTTTTAAGCTGCGACTGGTTTAAACTGGTATACATTCTTAATATACTATACAACAGCTTATAATTAGAATTTTCCTTATTGAAAATTAACGGGGCTACTTGAACTGCTATCGCTGGCGAGAATTTGCCAACTGAAACTGAAGCAAGAGAAAATGTGTTGCGCCGAGTAAGCTTTTTCTGTAGAAATTAGAAGGCAGAATTTCAGCTTTTCCGGCTTAAGCTTACAGAAAAGTAAATTAAGCTGAATATATCTAGGTTTACTTCATAATCTATATGCCTTTGCATTGTACTCCAATGCACTCCATATAAAATCGATGTATTTTACTTGAAATTTACACAGGTTTGTGTCCAAAACCTGTAGAAGCTTTTTACCCGAAACTTACATTCGTGTAGAATGTATAAATCGAATACCAAAGAAATAAAAGAAAATACTAATCAGATATTTTCCGTTTTTCGAATTACATTTATTTATTGCATGCGTAAAATTTTCCATAGCATAAAATGTTGATTCTTGTTGGTTTTCTTACAATTTGTTGAATTTCTATACGATTTTGCTTCGTTATTAGTTGGTTTATTTTTTTATAATTTTTGAATATTTTTTTTATATGTATGTACATTGAAAGTTTGAATAAGTTGTAAGAGTTGAGTTATCATTAGAGTTTAAGTTAAAGAAATAGAGAGTTGATTTTTAAGGTACATTATAGTTGTTGAGTTTTGCACGTTCAATTTAAGTAGACAATACATCAATAATATCAATTATATCAATATATCAATATCAATGGAGGATCTAGAGTTGAGTTAAACTTTTGATATGTATTTCGTATGCAATTGGCTTAGTTCAAGTTAGAGGACAAAATGTGACTACAAATTGCTCTTTGAGTATATTAATATATAATTTCGCATTACTATAATATATTTGAAAACGGAAATTGGTTCCATTTCGGTTATTTTTCCTGGATTTCGGTTAATGTACTTTTCGCATCTGTATAAAAATATAAACAAATTAGAAATGTTCGTTGTCTTTGCTACTATATTTGCATTCGGTTGTTTTACATAATTCAATACAACTCAGTGACTGACAAAAAATAAGTAGGAGAATAAAATATTCTGCGGAGGACCTTCAGTCTTGCTTTGAATTTATATTGCTTGGTTTGTTTCATTTCTTTCGTGGTTCCATTGTCGCTAGGAGATCAGCATTGGATGTATATAGGGAGATACACTGTAAAAACAAAGTTTATACATTCCATAGTCTATTTTCTGTTTAGTATTGATTAAGCGCTAGTCGAGTTCTGTGCTGAAGATCCCTGTGAACTGGTACTGGAACCAAAGGGGTATTAATACGTACACATATCTCAATGACAGTGTAAACCGAAATTGGATGGATCGTCGCGGAAAGTATTAGCCTAGGTTAAGTTTTTCACATTGAGTTTGATATGCATATGAAATGTTTAAACGTTAGCCAAACAGCTGATAAGTGTGTCTGTCTGTATATATATATTATGTGTATCTATAGGTAGAGTTGCCGTAATTGATATGGATTTCTCTCGTTAGGAATATAAAATAATCTGGCTTAAAAATGCATTAAAAAACTATCTTGGATAAACCTATCACTAAGTGGGTGCAGTATAATTATCTAAACAGACATAACTATTCTTTGGTTTAGGCAGTGCGATATTAACCTAGAATATGGCTATATTCAACTAGAAGTTTGTCTATGACGATTCCGTGACACATCGCGCACTACAAACTAGGTCAAAATCAAAGTCATTTACAACAAATTTGATGCCGACTTACTGCCTACGATACGTTTGTATATAATATATATGTGTATATATATATATATATGCTTGTATATTTATTTCTTTTGTATATTTGCCGACGATTGCAGCTGATATGTTTCGATTTCATGGTTGGTTTAGCTTTTGATATGTAACATACGCACCAATTGCATTAGTTCAATCATATTCAGTATTCAAGTTGCTTGAGGACCTCGAGTACCCCTGATATGTATGCTGTGTATAAACTACACCATATTATACTATACTAGGCTATGCTATGATAAATGTGATATGTTTAGTTTTGTTCATGTTTCTGTACGCACACATTTAATTCAGCCGACTGTTAGTCTAAATACATTTTGAATTGCCACTTCACTCCTGATTTCCATATCCCCCCCCTCTCTATCTCTCTCTATCTGTCTCTCTCTCTCTCCGTCCCTTCATCAGCATATATCCACAAGCACCCATCGCAATCATTTTCAATTTGTCCTATGCTTACATGCTATAAAATCACATTTAGTTGCTTAATTAATTTTTATCCTCTCGAACACTCCTATTCACTCACACACACGCGCACACGCACACACGCACGCACGAAGAGAGAGAACGCATATGTAGAACACAAGCAGACGTAGAAAACGTGTAACCTTCGAACATCATGTAGATATTGCTTTTCATTTCGCTACATATATACTATATGTATATATATATATACGACAGTATGCCCCATTCGTGCACACACATTTTCATGGCCTGCTGCACAGCAAAATGCGTGCAGTTTATTTTAGTATATTTTTTTATGCGGATCCTTGTTCCTTCGCTGGTTCTTTGCTGCTGCAAAGGCAAATTTGCATGTGGTGATGGGGATCGGAATGGGAATGGGGATGGGTATGGCAAGTGGGTGGTTGGGCTGGCCCGGGAAAATAGGAATGCAATTTTTCAATACGCGCACATAATTGAACTGTCAGAGTAGCTCGACTCGGCCAGGCAGAAATACTGCGCTCCGCCTCCCGCAAAAGTATGCAACGGAAAAGGGCAAATGAAAGTCCTGGATAACTTTGCCCGTTGATTTTCTTTTTTTTTGTGCATCGACCGCTCTTCCTTGTAATTAAATTGGCTGCACTGTGAGCGAAGCGCCTGACCAACTGCAGATTTATTGGCGGCCAGGCCAGCGAAGAGCTTTCCATTGGCCAGCCAATGTGCCACGCCCAGCTTACTCCTCCGGCCAGCCGAGATCCTCGCCCACCAGCTCGTAGAACCGCTGATTGTACTCGGCGAAGAACTTTCGCAGTCTGGAGACCACCACGGGATCCACATGCGGATGCTTCCTGCCCTTCGTCTCCCTGAGGCAGCGATCCCCGTTGTCGTAGCGCAGACAGTAGAAGCCCTTGGTCTCGTTGAAGTAAAAGTGCTCGCTATTCACGCGATGCTCAATGCCTGAAATCGACAGATAAATGTGGCATAAATTAATAAAAAATATGCTTGCTTTTAGAGCATTTTCAAGCATCATTTGCAGATGAGTAACAAACACAGTTGCAATCACGGAGCGCACTTAGAAAGTTACTCACCCAGAAAAGCCTCGATGCGCTTCAGCTGAGAAACCGGATCCTCGATGAGGCGATCCCCATTGACCACCAGTAGCTGCTCCCGCGGAAAGACCTCCAGCCAGCGATGGAGGTGGACATGGTACATGGAGATGCTGAGCGGTCGATAAGCCTCGTTAACGGTGCCATTGGGAAATATGGCCAGCTCCTCAAAAGACCTGCGAAGGGGGTGAAAGCAGGCGAGGGTTTTAAATCTCCCTTTCGACAAGGATGGCAAATTGAATTGCCAGCAGCTGCAAATGAGCAGCTCCCACTTCCCTTTCCCTACTCCAGCTCGCCGACGACCATGTTAAACAGAGTCCTTGGCTCCGTTGGCTCCTTTGGCTCCTTTGGCCCCCATCCTGCCACACAACCTCTGTCAACAAGTGAGGCCGCAGCAAGAAAGTTTCACCATCGGCGCGACGGGGACAGAGGCCGTGGCAGGAGCAGCCAGAGCCAAGGACAAGAGTCGCATTTTGGGCAACTTTCATTTGCAGTTTGCATTTCATTTGCATGTCAAGCAGCAGCGGAAGGGGAAGGGGAAAAGCGAGTGCATGGAGGGAAGTGGCTCAGTTCGGTTCACTTACTTGGCTGCCATTTGGGCGGCGCTCGCCAATGGCGACATTGTAGTCGTGGTCATCGCAGCTCCACCGACAGCGACACCGCCACTGCCCAGCGCCTGTCTCCTGGCCAACGAAGACGCAGATACCGTTCTGCCTTTGGTCTCCTTGGCGCCCGCCCCACTGCCACCCACCAGGGCATTGTCATAGCCACGGGCCGACTGCAGTTTGGCATACAGCAGTGATTGTGTTGGCATCTTGGCAGCTGCGGTCCCGCTTCCTCCACCTCCACCGCCACCTGACCCACCGCCCGAGCTCTCCCTCGGACTAGGTGGATCCTTGTCGGCCAGCGGCAGGATGGCAGTGGCCGCATGGCTACGCAGCTGCGTGTAGTCCGAAATGGCCCGGGTCACCGGCTCCCGGACAATCAGCAGCAGCTTGATGCTCGCATTCATGGCCCGAACGCGTTCCGGCACCTGGAATATACGCAGAGTCAGGAAACATGTTTACCCAACAATTTAAATGGGGCTAATTAAAAGGGAAATATGTGGTAAGTTCACTGCGCAGCAGAATATGTTCAATTCTTTTATCGAGCAGCGATCGATTTATGAAAAAATATTATTAAAAATATTCAAAATATTAGTCTTGTCTAATTAGCTTGTACGCTTTGTTCAGCAGCGCTAGATATACAAGTGTATTTAAGTTAATAATATTTGTTTTAGGCATTTTGCCAAAATGGAGTAATATAATATTCAAAAAAGGCCAATAAAAAGGAGCAAACTTGTTTACCCAAAGCGTATAGTTTTTGCCGTATTATTTTATGCAAATATTAAAATAACCTATCATATTTGGCGGAAAACACAACAATAAAGAACATTCCACGCGCTAATAAGCACATGAAAAAGAATTTAATTAAGTTGGGAGCTGGAACGGAAAAACGATATTTCATCAAAATAAATAGCATGCTTTAATAGCCAAAAGAAAGCAAGTTAATTCGGAAATAATAGTGAGGCTTTTTTGCAGTTGTGTTCGATATTTTCTCAAGGTGGACTGTGTGTAAATCTGATGCTGTGCCTTCCTTCCATCCAATTAATGAATTTATGCCGTGTGCCTGCCAACAATCGATAATAATTGCAAACTCTGGCAGCTACATTTTCAGAGGAACTTGGTCGCCCCTTTTGTTGGCTTTAATTTGCAGCCTTTTGTGGCAGCCACGCCCCCTGCTGCCCACTATCCGCCCCCTGCTGCTGCACTTCCGCAGCAAGTGTGCTGTGAACAATTTAATTAAGCCGGAAAATATTGCCGTACAATGTTGGCAGAACGAGTCCATAGTCGACTCCGGCGGGGTCCTTGAATTTGCCACGTTGTATAAATAGCCTCGCCTCGCCTCTCAAATGGGCGGAACGAGCCGAGTAAATAAAATTAATCAATTTCAATAAGAGCCAGCAGGCCGTGCAACAAGTTCATAACTTTTTTGTGTTCCTCAATATTGTATTTTGTTTTTGCCTTGGTCGCCTGGGCACTCAAGCGTTTCCGAATTATTCACGTTGGTGAACCATTTGGGAATGTGCATTTCGCTGAATCTTTAATGCAGCCAAAATGCATCTGACATATCGGATGGGAGCAGATCGAGGGTTTTACTTTGAGGCCAAAGTGCACCCTGGAGAGTTGGATGCATTATTTATGCTGCTCCACAGGATAATTTGACGTTTTGCGCTGAGGGAGCTCCGTTTCGGTGGCATTAGTTGGCCTTGCTCCCGCCAGTTCCATCTCAATAAATATTAATACCAATATTAATGAAGATTTATGTGAATCAGTGGAGTGGAGTGGAGTGGTGTGGAGGAGCAACGACATCCAGCGACAAATTGAAACGCAGCATCCACTGCAGTGGAGACGGAGACACGGCGACGAGGCAGTTAAAATTGAAATGAAACTGGATAAAATATTGCCCTGTCAGGAGGATGGGATGCAAGGCAACGTTCACCTTGGCCCGAGTGTGGCACATGCAACTTCCGGCTCGCAGCGAAATTGCATCAGGCCAAAAACCCAATTTTGTGACACTCTGCGGCAGGGCAACAAATACAAGGCGACCGGAAAAGAAACAATAATAAAACCTGGCCCAAAAAGCGATTCGGTTCGGTTCGGTTCGGTTCGGTCCGGGTGTTAGACGTAGCCGTTTGCCAAATGAATTTGCAAACATTTCCGCTCCGGCTGCCGACATGGACACGGAAATTGGCCGGGACATGGCCAGCGTTTCAGTTTAATTTGATAGATGGCCAGCCGGCAGTAGTAGAAGTGCCACGTCCAAGCCGGCCGACAGTTAATTAATAATTATGGACAGGCCGAGAGAAAGGCAATTCTAATTGCCAATTAGAGATCAAAGCGAAGCCACATAAAAATGTCTGGGAACACTCACCTCTGGCGACACAAAGTAGCTGGGACTCTTCTCGATGGTTATCTGGCCACGGAAGGAGTGCGGCATCTTCTTGCGGTACCACTCCAGACCCTTCAGGTAGTTCTCGTCCCGGTCGAAGAAGTGCACCTCGCCGCCGGCCTTCTGGATCCGCGGATGCAGGTAGAGCATCTCCAGCAGCGCCCGTGTTCCGCACTTTCGTACACCGATGATGAGTGCCTGGGTGCGGAAGTCGAGCCAAAAGAACACGAACATGCAAATTGCAGCAATTAGTCGGGCCCCAAACTGACTGCCACACATACTATCCATATGCATACAGGGAAACTACATAGTTACCATACATGTATGAAAAGCAGGTCTGGTTTGTGCTAGTTTAAAACATATTCTAGTGGCCTCATTATTCTATTTCCAGTCTCAATAAAACAAGGTACATTAATTACCTATTCCTGGCTGTATCGTCGGTAAACTATTTAAGAATTTATCCAATTTACTCAGGACTTACCTGTGGCAACCGTCGACTGGTTTTTGGAAAGTGCACTCGGCTGGAGGGAAAGACCATGGGATGGCTGAGCTGATTGGAGCTGGGCACGGGCTTCACGAACACGGGCAGATGATTGGAGGCGCCGCCGGCGGAGGAGGAGAACGGGGAGAAGGAGGAGCCGCCGGAACTGGACGACGAGGAGGAGGAGGATGCCAGAGCCGATGCGGAGGCGGAGGCGGCCATAGATAATCGATGCCTTTCGTGGACAGCCTGGGCCGCCTGAATATTGTACACGGCACTATCGTACAGGACGTGGAAGGTGAGGAACAGCGAGATCAACATGACCGTAAGGAAGACGACGGCCAATTTTGGACGGGACACGCCCACCACCAGGATGCAGTCCGTGGGCGAGGTATCAGGACCCGCCGGCCGCATTGCCGACTTCGGTAGCCATCTACAAAGAGAAATACGGGTATATAGTAGAGAGGACATCGATTAGGATTTGGTTTTGGTTTCAGCTAATTAGATTGCCCTTCCCACTGTGCTGAGTAATTAGGGCTGCCGGTTTCCCAGCACACCACTGCTGCTCCTTCCTTTTCCTCCTTTTCCGGCTGCCCTTAGCTAAATTAGCAAGACGACACTCTGGACGCGGTCCTCCATTTTTAGCCAGCACCTGAACGCTCACGTCCGGCGGCGCTTAAGCGAATTCCATTATAAACGTTTCCGCTTAGACCGCAACAAACACTGGCAGCATTATTATGAGCACCACATTGCAGCACACTAGGCGTATACGTAACGTGGCCTAATGGATGACTTCATTTGCAGCATGCCGCAGCTGCACGCTGCACGGTGCACTGTGCACGGTGCACGGCGCGGGAATGGTGGGGGTGAGCAGTTGGTCAGGTGACAGAAGGCGCTGCTGCCAGTCTGCGGCTAAGTGCAATTTCATATACAGAGTAGGGGCGTGGTGGAAGAGGCAAAGTGATGGTGGTGCGGAAACGTGGAAACGTGTGGCAACTGGTGGCTTCGCCTATGGAGTTACCCCTGCCGCCGCCTCATCCACTTCGCATGCGACACCTCGTTAAAAGTAACGACACACTGGGCTGCAGGCCCGCAAGGAGTCGAGGCACTTCACTCGACGGCGCCGTTTGTGGCGCACGGAGCAACCTCAGAGCCAGACCGAGCAAGTCGCTCGACTTCCTGCCATTCTACATAGCCCCATTTCCACATTTTCGCCCTGGATCCCCTAATTCCCCCCAGCTCACTTCTCTTTTTCTGCCAGTTGTCGACACGCTTTAAGTTCTTTTTATATTCCCAGCTGTTGTTTTTGTTTTACATTTTCTTAACCCGTTTTAAGCCCGCAGCTGCAGTAACAACACTGAGAGAAAGGCCTTCCTAGAAATATAAATAATGGATAATGCTTGCAAGGAATAATAAGTATCGCCTTGAGAACTTAGCCAGAGATCTTCCCAATATGCCTTGTGCAAAACGAAGCAAGTCCTGATTTCAGCAGCCCCCTTCCGCCCATTTATTTCTCCCTGTGTACCAGCCCGGCTGCGACTGGCCTCGTTTTGCGCTCCACAAGGCGGCCCGCCACTTGACTGCGATCTGCATAAACGCAGCGCCACCCAGTAAGGAGTCCTCCTCCTCTAACTGCTTCTGCTTCTGCTCCTGCTTCTGCTCCTTTTTATCCTGTCGTTGTCACACACTTTCTAGGTTGGCTGGCAGCCTTTAAGCCCAAATCCCCGCCGAACGCAAAGCTTTAAGGACGGGCTCAGGCACTCTAATCCTGACAAAACTGGTATAAGTTCCATTTCGCAGTGCTAAGCATTTGAAACGCTTCATTTGTCCCTGTCTCTGGTCCCCTGGTTCCCTGGTCCTCTGCCTGATGTGCTTTGTCTTCTGCCCACCGCTGCTCCTTGGGTAAATATTTATAATTCCCAGATTCATTTTGTGGGACTGGACTGGAGTGGACTGGTTTTCTGTGCAGCAGCGCGGTAAATTCGAATCGAGCAAATGCTGTGCCGTTAAAGTTAATGCAATTTTCAATCGCGCTGTTAAAATGTAAATTTTATTAAACCATCCAGACGTGCGGCTATCTCCGCACCAGATTCCCTTGGGGAGATCGCAGTGGTGGGCTTGACCTTTTTATCGGCTACGTGCAAAAGCGGAACCTGAACCCAAAATGATTTGTTGGCCGTACTCACAGGATATCCAGCGGCAATTTGACGGAGCAATCGCGCAGTGTCGCCTGGTGTTGCTGCTGTCTCTGGTGGTATTGCTGCGTGTTGCTGCTGCTGCTGCCGTTGCTGCCGCTGGTGTTGCTGTTGCCGCTGTAGTGTTGCTGGTAGTGATGGTGGGGATGCTGCAGCAGCTGTTGGTACTCGTTTGGCTGGGCCTGCTGCTGTTGCTGCTGCTGCAGCTGCAGATGTTGCTGCTGCAGATGTTGCTGCTGGGAGTGCTGTTCGTTGCCATTACTGCTGCCGCTGCTGCTGCTGTTGCTGCTGCTCGCACGTCTTTTGGCGGCAGTCATCAGAGAGGCAGCTGCGCTCGGCTGGAGAACGCGTTCAATGGAGCCCAAACGATTGCCGCTTTCGGCTGTTGCTGCAGCTAATTGGCCAGTGGACGTGGGCCAGCTCGATTGCAGCAACGTGCAACATGAGTTGCTGCCGGATTGCCGGGTTGCTGGTGGGCGGTTAGATTTATGGGCCAAACCCACCGACACACCCACGCCGCCTTCTCCTCCACCCCCTCGGGGGAGAAACTGCTCTTTTGTTTCGACCCTTATCGCAGGAGTTCGTTTCGTGTTTTTTGCGCTTTAATTAAATTCCAGGCAATCGAGGGGCGGGATTCCTTCAGCTCTATGCGTTCGAGGTCACTGCTCACAGAGTTGGAAAGGCAACCTGTGACTGGGCGACATATTGAGCCTCATTTCCGACCGGGCAAACAAAACGGAAGTTTCCTAACATCATCATCATCATCATCATCATCGGTGGCACCATGTCCTGACCTTATTGTTGTTTCGTAATTGTATTTGTTGCTGCTGCTGATGTGGCTGTTGTTGCTCCTTTCCTGGGATTAAAGCCGTAATGGCCTCGTCCGATTTGGCTGCTGCTCCTGATGTTGCCCAGAGCCATCGTCTATTGTCCGCCAAAATGCTTTAAACCACTGAAAAGAGTGGCAAAACAATGAAATCGGTTAGGCAAATCCGGTCTATAAATTATGTATAAATAAAACGTATATTTAAGCTTTTCATCATTTTTATTTCGCCCTTCTGTGTACAGTTTCTATAAAATTTTTAAAATATAAAAAGTTTGCCAACGAGTACAAATTCATTGCAATATTTCAATACTCACACTTTCAATATATTTGGTCTCTTGCAATTGCAATTTATTGAAAACAGTTTCAGCAAGTAGTCCTTGGAAAATTTGATATCTCATTTTGAATGTATAAATTTGTTGCATGTACTAAACACTAAGCACTAAATGCCCCGAAGGCGAACCACCCCGAAAGTGGCGACCCCAAAGTGGATCCATGCATTGCATGCGGATGAATTAGAATTTTTGTTAGAAATTCAAATCTAGACGACTCCTGGTCAGGGCATAGCATAGTGTCTAAAGAGGCATACATAATCAGTTGTCATTGTGCTTTGGCTCGGAATATATGTATTCTTGCAGGCGCATTGGTATATAGGGTGGTGAATGGCAAGCGCGCTCCTCAGTTGCATTCCACGGAGTCATCATGAATTTCACACTATTTGAAATTTTCCGGAAGCTGCCGGCAGGTCAGTCTGATTGTTGCATCTGTAGCTGATCGATCATACTTTATAATAATACCCACAGATCCCGTCCCTCCGCCCATGCTGAGAACACCTCTGCCAGCGATTGTAATAATTTTGGGTTACCTGCTGCTGATTTTCAAAGTGGGCCCCGATTTTATGAGATTTCGCAAGCCCTTCAACATTCGAAAGACAATGTTAATCTATAATTTCTGCCAAGTTTTGATGAACTCCGCCTTTTTTGTGATGGTGGGCATTTTAACCGATTGCATTTCTACAAAGAATCAATATTATATTTTTGTTCTTGCAGGGCACACGTTTTTTTTTTATCTGGAAATTGTACGACCTCCGCTGCATGGAAAGTCTGCCTTGGGATCATCCATATAAAGATACCGATCGTTGGCTAACATACTTATTTTTCATCAACAAGGTGATTGACCTGATGGACACCGTATTCTTTGTGCTGAGAAAGAGCTCCAAGCAAATCACCGTACTCCATGTCTACCATCATGTATTAATGGTGTTGGCTGTGTCCTTCGTATACTATTCCTACGGACCCGGAGGACAGTACAATCTGATGGGATACCTCAACTCATTTGTGCACGCGGTGATGTACGCCTACTATTTTGCATCTGCTTGGTATCCGAACGTGAAGAACACATTCTGGCTTAAACAGTACATCACCAAGCTGCAAATCATACAGTTTGTGATCCTCCTCACACAATCTGTCCTGACATTGTGGCTGCATCCCGGTTGCCGTGTTCCCAAGTTCCAGCAGTTCCTTCAGCTGGGAGTTTCCCTTTCCATGATTGTCATGTTTGGGAACTTTTACTATCAAACCTATGTCAAAGCCAAGAGCAAACAGCAGTGATTCATAAATACATTGTAGTACTCTTTACGCAATTGAGTCGGCCTCAGTTGAGTGTGACTAGATTGAGCGTTTTATTCAGGGTCTCTCATACCGAAATGTGGGACAGACATCGCAGTTCAAATAGCTGAATAATACATTATTTCATTTGATTTGGCGTCATTTCGATAAAACAAACTGGAATGTTTCAAGACTGCTGAACAGTCGCTAGCGGTTCCTCAAACAACATTCAACCCAATAATAATGCTCCGATACTTGCGCTTACCTCAAGCGGGTATGTTCGGTAATTTGCTGTACTACACATAGCTATATAATTCCTTTTGAAACCTCGTCAGATCCCAACCCAATTCCGCTGGCTGGTTCACCATGGCCCATCACACTGATTTTGATAGCTTATCTGCTGTTTGTCCTCAAGTTGGGCAAGATCTACATGAAAAACCGGAAGCCATATGATTTGAAAACGGTCTTGAAGGTCTACAACCTGTTTCAGGTGCTTTACAATGGTCTCTACTTCGGCACGGTGAGTTTTGAGACAGAACATTCGTACTGCAATTAATAAGCGTGCCCCTTTATTTTCCAGGTATTCTATTATCTCTTCATCGAGGGCATCTGCAATCTGCACTGCATTGTGAGCTTTCCCGATGGCCATGAGCGCAAACAAACTGAACGAGTGTTGCATGCCGCATATTTGCTGAACAAGATTCTCGATCTAATGGACACTGTGTTCTTTGTGCTGCGAAAGAGCTATAAGCAGATCACCTTTCTGCACATATATCACCACGTGTTCATGTCCTTCGGTAGTTACGCCCTAACACGATACTATGGAACCGGTGGCCACTTCAATGTCGTTGGATTGCTCAACTCCTTGGTGCACACGGTCATGTATTTCTACTACTTTCTGTCCTCAGAATATCCCGGAGTGAGGGCCAATATCTGGTGGAAGAAGTACATAACACTGACTCAGCTCTGCCAGTTCCTAATGCTGCTCAGCTACGCCATCTATGTGAGATTCTTTTCGCCGAATTGTGGGGTTCCCCGCGGTATTCTCTATCTGAATATGCTGCAAGGCGTGGTCTTCATTTATCTGTTTGGCAAATTTTATGTCCACAACTACCTGAGACCTGCGAAGGCCCAAATCAACACAAAGCAATCGTAGGCTTAAGCTATTTGAATATATGTAAATGCACCTTTAATTAGTCCATGCATTCAACTCAATACTCGCGTTACTTCTACTTTCTCAAATTCGACTTCGGATCCAAGCTACTTGTATAACTAAGCTAAACGAAAGAATAAAATGGTATTGTCCCGAACTATTTCTGCATTTCAATTGGGGCTATGGATGTTTATAAAAATGGGAATTGTAGCGTGAAATAAAAATTCCAAGTTAGGTCGCGTGATACAAAAATTTTCCCAGAAAATGATTGCCCACGTGTTGTCGAAATTTATGGAAAAGCTAAACCATTTACTGAGGTTTATCGGTAATATAAACCACAAGCCAACACCCAGGAAATAATGTAATATATGGACATTTGAGATGGAGAAGAAAACCTTTGATCTGTTATCAGCTTTAATATCCAACCACAATGTCATATCATGCGTGTTGTATTGGACTTCGAATGGAATCGCCTTGAACTAACATTTGGAAAAGTACTGAAAAAGTATAGGAAAAACCCTTGTGTACTACAGTTTCATAATACTGCATAGCGGTGCATAGCCATTGCATAAGCAAAATAACCAATTATATTGTGCTGGTAATGGCATTCTTAATTTATTTTCCTCAAGGTTTGTTTATTGCTTATAAAACATTTTTAAAAGCTCCTATTGAAAGTAAATTTTTTTGGAAATAAGAGCACCAATAAAATATACGAAAGAGAAATTTCGAACCAAGAAATGCTGAATTTTCAATCAAGAGCTCCGCAATTCGTAGCTTTAAGCTCCAACCCATTGAATGATAACGAGTAGTTGTAATCGAATAATTGTTGCACATTTACATTACTCATATGGCATTTTCTGTAAGACAGCTGACGGGTAAGCACCAAAAGTCCAAGGTATGATGTTGTACTAGATAGGCGATCCCTTAAGTGCTCGGAATATCTGACAGTATAGCTGAAAGAATTGATCAAACTGAGACAGGTTTGACTGTGACGGTTTGGCAAAGCCGTGCCACTTAAACATCGACAGAGTGAAAACTGCACGCCGGAAAAACAGCTCCGGGCAATCAAATGCTGCCCCTTACTCTTTGCTCTTCCAGCTTTTCCTGTTGTTTTTCCTCGTTTGTTGGCACGTTGGAAAAGCTTCGCTTGATAAGCATAAGAAATGGAAGGAAACTAACAAGTGCGTTGGCTTGTGTGTGTGATATCTGTGTGTGACTGTTAGTGTGTGTGTGGGTGTGTGTGTGTGTGGCCCAACGAGCGACTGCACATAACAAGCTTCCATTATATCCCATTTGTGCTGCTCCTTGCCAGCTGATAGGACAAACCGGAGGCGCTATAACCGTAGCTAAAGTCTGTTGCACTAGTCAAACTTAAGCCGGAAATTCACTCTGAGTGCAGAGAGAAAAAAATTGTTCAATTCGGAGAGTATCACCCAGAACTTAAGAAGAATTTTCCAATCCGTCGATGGCTGTGCATTACTTGTGGCAATAACTCACCTACAGAAGCAAAGTTTAATGTCAAATTTCCTTATATCACAAATTGAATATGGAACAAATAAATAGCTCTTATGGTTCCTAAGCCTTTTATGCGACATTTATATTACAAATTCCTAGATCAAGCAACTATTTATTTTGAGTATTTGTCCTAAATTGGCAAGTTTTGTGCTCTGTGCATGCCATGCGCAGACACATAGAGCATTCGCCCGCCTGCAATTGTATTTACTGCTGGAGAAAACGAAAACAATTGCCGCAAATATGGCAAATGGCAATTGAAAAACAAAAGTCCCTGGCGAAACGAGACCAGAAATCCGTTCGCCTGCTCCTTTCACACTTTCCAGCCACGCAGGACAAAAGGCCGAAAAACGGCAGCAGGGACGTGAGTGCTGAAAAAGAGCCAAGGATGCAGCTGCACACAGAAAAAAAGGGGGGAAAATGCACAAAATTGGCTGTGAAATGAACGAGCTGAGGCGACGTGGCGTCTATTGTTGCCGCCGAGGCAAAGTAGGGGAAATGGCTGCGACAGCAGCGAAACTGAGGTCAACTGAGGTGAGGAGGCAGGCCAAAGTCAAACGGAAATCTACATAAGACCCTGCTACACTTGCGATTGACAGTCCTTGAGATGTTTCCACTCAGTTTCCCATATCAATGGCCTGTGACCGAGCACCACAACATCGTACAGCCGGGTGGGCAATTAAAAGGCATTCCAGAGCTCAGCCAGCATAAATTACTCAAATGCGAGTATGCAAATGCCATTTGTGCGATTAACAATGCAAGCGTCAAGACCACTGGGCACACTGAGCCCACTACGCACAAAAGACGCACATTAAAATGATCTGAAATTATATAGCAAAGGGTAGCACATGTATATACTTATATAGATACGAGTATATGCCATCTACGGCCATACCGAGGGGAACTGACCTGGCTGCCTGGCTGTCTGGCTGTCTGGCTAGCTGGCTAGCTGGCAGCTTTCCCATAATTTACACTTTATCGAACGATAACAAACAGCCTGCATAATGGATGGCGCTTGGTTTTGGCCTGGAATGGAAAGGAGCGGCAGCTCAACTGGCCCACTTGCCCCACCTGTGGTGTGGGTGGTTCTGGGGGCATCCTGGCATTGACTTGGGCTTGAGGTTACCGCAGGGTTCTGCGTGAGATCCTTCTCGCCTTGTAAACGGATTCCCGTACGCAAAATGTGGCGTCAATCAAATATGCCACAACTGCAACGCGTTGCACCTTTAGGGCAGGTGTGGAGGAGCTGTTAACCCACATTTACCAGGCGATTTGGCGACTTGGGAGACAAAAACCATTTACATTCGAAAACCATAAAAGATACAAACGCCGACCTTCTACCGCTCGTTTGGGGAATATGGCATGATAAAATTTTAATTCGTTGCGATTGATGGTAACCACCCCTTATATGTACACCCCATATGTATGTACATATGTGCATGTATAGAACCATCGATGGTTGATTTCCCAGAGCCAAGGGATACAGCCAATACATTACATTTTATAACCCCGGCTAATTTGCATATATGCAGGCATACGTACGACCATAGAAATAAGAGTATATGTGTCTGCGTAACATTGATTGGATTTGTTTGACTTTCACACAGCCTGATGGCATCGCATCGAAGACGGGTGGTGTTTTGGGTGTTGGGTTTTGGGAGGTGAAAGGTGGTTTTTAGGGCTTTCTGGTGGTTTTTAGGCGGTGGCGTTGGGAGGCTAAGTGCCTGACATTTGCTAAATGGCAAAGCGCCTGGCTTCACAGGCTTTTGCTGGTTATACTTTCCCCATTTGCTCAACCGAAAATTGCACTTGCCTCGTTAGTCGAAATGGCTGGGTAATTACGAGTGGTCGGAATTGCCCCCAACAACTCATCGCCTACTTGGCCTATGACCTTCAAAGTCGCGGCTAACAAAGAAGAACTGGTAACGACTTTTGGTATCCTTTAAATAGATAATAACAACAGCTTGCACTTAGTATCTGGTCGCAACGATTAATAATGTGGGTCATAAAAGTATCTGGTGATTACTATGACTAGCTCAAAATGAATGTACTTCAACCAATCAGCTCATTTGGCTGTCAATTGCATAACCATTTACATAAATACGCACATAAGTGTGCTTGCAGATATATATTCAGTAAATAAATATGTGCTTGTCAAATGAACAAACTATCTGTATTTGCATATGTATCTGAGAGGCATACTCGCATATGCAGGGGCATATAATTAAATGCCGTAAATGTCGATGATGAAACTGAAGCCCTGGTTCCGTTGGCTCTTCAAGTGGATCTTGGCATATGTGGTTTGTGGCCCACCAGCAGTTAGGTATGCATAGCCTCCATTTCCATCCCGAATCTGATCCGTGATCACGATTTGGGTGATGGTGCGTGCCAGTTTCTATCAAATGGAAAGCAAGCTTATGAGGGGAAAACCCTTTCGAGAGTGAGTAACCCACCTTTTGATCGAACTCATAGTCTTTGGTCACCACGCGCAGGAACTTGGACTTCTCCGTAATGATCTCCCTGCGTAAAAGCATATCCCTGTAGCTTCTGGCGCCCCAGGTAATACTGTGACTGCGGCCACGCCCAGATGCCTCAGAGAGGGCGGATAGCGAGACTACTAGTAATATCACGGAAAATTTCATTTTTAGAAGTGATTTAACTTTTTCTTAACGCGACGCTTTTATAGCTCCGAATAGCTGCATTATTTCCACCCAGCTGTTCGCTTAAAACCATAAACAATATTATTCAATATATTGAATAAAGTGCTTGTAAACAATAAACTACATGAAGTTGATTAATTGTGACACATAACTTGCTGCACTTATTCAATCTGTTTTACTTTTATTTATACAAAATAAAAGTGTAAATATAATATATAGACAGACCGGCAGTCGGAAAACAAAATAGCCATCACAATAAACCGACTGCTTTGTAAATAAAGATGGTATCACTCACTTCAATAATGAAACATTTACACGCTAAGAAATATATCACCAACAAAGTTATATTTAAACGATTAAAAGCTTAGTGCAAACATAGCAAATATTTAAGTCGTAATTCAATTAAAAATGTTGCGTGGAGTGGCAGTATTGCAGTCATTAAATATTAATTCCCTTAATATAAGCCATATAATCCCAGTCATTAGGTAAAGCTTTTCGGAACTCAGCCAATATCTGCTTTAATTATGACCACAAACATATTTTTTGGTATTACATAAACTTTGTAATTAAATAATGAGCATAAATTTAAGGCTCATAAGCCTTAAAATGTAAATGGACAGCTGCTGAAACTTTAGATACCGGCTTCTATGGCTGTTGAATGAACCCTTCGGGTCTGTGGAAGTGTTCCACTTTCCACTCTCCACTTTCCACTTCCAGCCCGCAGTCTCATATTTTGCCAAGTGGAAATACTTTTGCAAAGATTTCCGAGACTCGAGACTTTTGTTTCGACCCGGTTTTCTGTTCCTGTTGTTGTGGTTGGCTGCTTTAAATACCGCTGTGTAGGTGTCTTGTTTCGGTTTGAAAAGCCGCAACTGCGGACTTTAAGGCAAATATTTATTTAATTTTAACATCCCCCGCACTCACGACCCACTGCACAGATCCAATTTACTCAAGTACAGAGACCCGGTCGCGTATATTGTTGAAATTTTATTGTGCAAACATGAGAATGTCTCTATGTGTGCGCTTGTATTTGTGTTTTATGGTTGCCACGTTGGTTTTTCTCATTTACTCGCACAAACACACAAACACACAAACGCAAAAAATGGCAGTAACACAAACAAAATGGCCGAGCAACCGTTGTTAAGTGTCTCTCATAGCTGCGTTCATGCTGCCTGTGTGTTGGTGCATAGATTGTGTGTCTGTCTGTGTGTGTGTGTGGGCTACAAGGTGTAGGTCTGCATGTGTTTACCGCAAAAAAAGCAAGCAAACAAGCAAACAAACAAAAAGCGATTCGTTGGCAAACAAATCAGCAAAGCAAAATTTAGGTGGACAATAAAATTCGGCTGCAGGGCTCATGCAAAAACACTCACAAACACACGAAAGGCAATAAATATTATGCTGTCTTCTATTTGAGCATGAAATCGGATAAAAAGTACACAATATGCTTTGCATACGCCCATACAGCACTGTAAGTACCTAGTAATATTTGGCATTACTTTATTCATGCCATTTGTTGACAAGTTACGGCAGAAAAGCTACTAAATAATAGTTTTAAACATTAAGAAATAGTTTTAACATTCTGAGGCTCTATATTTTCTGCACAAATCCAGAACAATTTTGATTTTTGGTACTTTGCAATTAAAAACATGAATGTTGTGTTTCATAACGATGTACCCCCAAATTGAGCCAGTAAAATTCATTTTGTGGCGTGGCAATTATTGCATGTTCCCCTGGGTCACGAACTAATTGGATGAATTGGATAACCCTATCTCGTATTACTCGCAAAGCAACCATTCCTCAAACAGTCAAGAGAGTGATGGCTCGTATCTAACGAAATTGTGGCAAGGGGAAAAAACTTAAATTTTGCCGCCATGCCGGAGCTCTTCAAGCTCAAAACGCTTTAAATAATTTTAATTAAAACAAATGGCACTCGAAATAAAACACGCACATCAAACAGGAGTGGGTGGCCTCGCGAGGTGGTGGGGTGTTGGGGGCGTTGGTGGAGGAGCCTGAATGGAACAGACATGCCGTGTAATTACGCTCGACGGACAAGAGAGGGGTGGCGGTGGACCGCGGGGGCAGGAGCAGGACGAACCTTGTTTGTGCATTGAATCAAGTGGTGTTGCTGCTCTTGCTGTTCAAAATGCAGCACGAACGAACCAACACACACAGGAATAAATAACTTAATCACAATTTATTCATGATGTTTGCGATAGTGTTTATGTCAGAGGCAACATGGCTTTTAAGAAAGTTATGCCAGATGATTTTCTTGCCATGAAGATCCTTAAATCCAATTATAAATGAGCTAAACAGCAGTAATCAGCCTTTTACGGTTGATTATATAGATTATTAAATTCTGGTAAAGTGCTCAAAGGTTTCTGTTTGAATAACAGAAACAAGTAACAGGTTTCATTTTACAACTTTTGCCCAAAGCTTGGAAACCGCACAGCTACTAACACAAGTTAAACAATTAGTATTCCTACACCGCAGGCGACTCTTTGCACTACATATAAAGACAAGTTGCTGTGCAATTTTTCTCAATGCATCCTTTTTTCAGGAAGAGGTCCTGGCGCCGCTGTTGTTCGTGACAAGCTGAGACAGAGGGCAAACATGCCGAGTGGACAAACTCCCACAACAACTTCATTTTGGGAGCTGTTGCCGAACATGTTGGCGAAGTTCTCGCGGCACTTTTCACGCTCGAGGATGGCACACAGGCGCTCGGAAATTGGCCAACTCCCATGTATCCGCCACCTAAAAATGTGACCCCCTCCTCCGCCCGGCGCCAGCACAAAAACTCACGAATAAAACAAACCCAATTGTAATTAGGCTTGAGAGCTGGCCGCCCGAGGGATGGGGCCAAAAGGGGGCGGCTGGTGGTGTTGGCTGAACTTCCTAAAATTACATTTAATCATTGTTATTTTAGGCCCTCCACCGGCTAAGTGCCACTACCCTCACCACCACCATCATCAGCACTGGCCATGCCACGCCCCTTCCGCACGTAGATGCCACTGAAGGCAAACAACTGTACGCAAACAAGTGTGTGTGTGTGTGCATGCAAGGGCACTAAGGACATTTGATAAAAAGCCACTTTGTGTGGCATTGCGCTTCTAACTAAAGCCGGCAAAATCTGGCCAAAAAGGCGCTTCCCATAACCCATTCGGATGATGAGGATGTAGGGGATTTGGGTGTTGGGTTGTTGGGGTGTTGGCCTCCCCTTCAACTGGTTAACACTTTGAACGTGCCACATTTTGACAATATCAAAGTTGAGTGGCTTAACTGACAGCGCCAGCAAATTTGCTCCGTTTGGCAGCAAGGGCGGCAAATAAATAACGTTTATAGCGTAAATATGGTAAATAGCAAAACGGACGCCTCAAGTGTCAGTTGTCGCCTGTCAGCGCCACAAGAGGCATTCCTCCTCATCCTGGCCAAATGCCAAAATAAAGCTGACAAATAATTGTTAATAAGGCAATGCCACTATGTCTGCCAGTCTGCCAGTCTGTCGCGTCCCAAGCGATTGACAATGAGATTGCGCATACGCCGGGTGGGCAAGCCAAAAGAGATTTTCACTCCCAATTACGCTGCAAAAATGTGTTGGCCAGGCCAAGAGAGCTTGGCTAAAGGCGACACTTGTTGAGGGCGGAAAAAATCGGGAGGATGTCAAGTTGAATTTAAGTACCGTGAGTACGCTGCCAAAGACATTTTTCGTGAATGCACCATTTTCATTTGCAACACAATTGAGAAAGAGCAGCTTGCGAGTGCTATAAAATTATTTTTTGGCATGCAAATTGCATTGGCTCGTGATTTTCCCCATGCCATTTTCATTTTCTTTGGCTGTCAACAGCGAAATGCAGATAAGTCGAAAACGAATGGATTTCCAGTGCCCCGGAGCTGTGCCCGTTTTTCCTTGGCTAACAATGAAAATTACTTTTCATATTTAATTGTACTCGCTATGTGCAGGATACTAGAACATGTGGCCAAATACCGAAGCCAAAGTGCAAGCCAAATGCCACATTAAATTACATCAAAGTCAAAGAAAACGAAGAAAGTAAAGAAATTCCCCCCAACTTGCAATTGAAATTTGTTTGCCAACTCAAACACGAACATGGGGCACCAAAGCCCCAAAAAAGTTGCTCGAAATTAGACGTGGCAAGCAAGTAATGGAGACACCAGAAAGGAAATGCTTATTATTTGCATAAATTCCACACACACACAACAAGCCAAAGGACCAAAGTCCAAAGTGACTGGCTAAGGAGAGGCGATGAGTTGAAAGGGAGAGAAAGAAATGCAAATTGTGTTGGCAAATTTAAATGTCAGTCAACAATTCAGTTGTTAAACTCGCATTACCCACAAAGCCATAGACATTGCTGGCCGTGCATACAAAAAAAGTGAATGGAACTTGTTACTCATACGCCCCGTGGTCGGTGTTCCTAGCACTCGTTACTCATACGCCCCATGGTCCATTTTCTTTGGACTTCTGTGTTTTGCTCTCTGCGCTTAATCGAAAAGCGTGCGTGACTCCGTCAAAAGGGAAATGGGGTTGGTGGGCGAAGGGAGGGGCGGGCTTATCATTTTTGGGAAAGGAAACTTTCGACAACTTTTCACTTTTGTTAGGTATTGCCACAGCAGCTTTCGGTTTTGCCATTCGATGTCAATTTAAAGTTTTGCCTCTACTTCCCTTTCATCCTGTTCTTTTCTATTGGTTTTTTGTTGATTTTTTTTTTGTCTTTTAGCTTTTTTGTGCCGAAATAAAAGTTTCGCCCGGCAAAGTTGGAGCAATTGTGAGAGGTTGCCGTGCTGCTGCATCCGGCATAATCGATTCGCTTTTGGCTTTTTCATTTTAATAACTTTTGCAGCAGCCACGGCAAAATAACAAGCACTGCAACAATTACGTGCCGCAAGTGCAAGAGCAGCAAACAAGCGGCAAACAACGAAACAAAACTGAACTGAGCTGCAGCGAACTGAACCGAACCGAACCCAACCGAAAGCAGTGGCAATCGACAACAATGGCAACAAAGGCGGCCACAAAACCTGGATCAGGAGCTGTGCGCCAAACTGCGAACTGGGTTAAACACTTGGCCGGAGTTTCCACCACCTGTCCGCTCACCCATCCGACCCGTTGCCCGGGTTTCCCTGGATATCCGTGAGTTTCCCAGAGTTTCCCAGAGCTTCCACCTCCTATCCCTTGACATTTGGCCGGGGCAACTAACTAAGTTGCCAATGCCGTTACTGTTGCTGCTTCGTTGGTGGCGCCACTGCCACTGCCACAGCGCGATGCATTCAAGTGGATGTTACCTTGCTCATAATTGAGGCACGCGCTAAGCGAAACAAATAACAAGGGGAGCCGCACAAGCAGCTCAAGCACTGATTGCTGCCCCGAAAACCCTTTAAATTCAAGTTAGGCACTCAGCAAAAGAGGTGCTCAGAATCAGGAGCCCGAGCTAAAGATTCGAATATAATGTGTCACAATTCAAATTGTTGCATTTCTATTTTTATGCAACCTCGCAACAACACTTCCTAAATTGCCATTTTACCTTAAAAAATAGGCTATAGTTGTGGTATATAGAACATTTCAGTAGAAGCATATGTATCTTGTATCCATTTTATCAATCAATGTGGTATAGACCAGGTAGGACTAGTATGCATTTTTTGGCTAATTTACAGGCATTTTTTCTCACTGTAATAGGGCTGATAGAATGAGGTTGCGTACACACTGTAGAAAAGCCAGTAATTTTCCCTGAAACACGTACTGGACTCATAAGCCAGCATAACACATGGCTGGAAAACTTATGTGTGTAGTTTCTCTACTCACCGAAAGTTAATTTCCGCTTGGTCGACGCACCTGCAACGAAATGAATGAAACGTAATTTATAATTAATATTAACGCATTTTCAATTCAATAATAAATGAGGGTAATTTATTTACAGTCCAACCACCGCAGGGCTCCAATTCCTACGATTGGCAGGCCAATTAGTTGAATTCAAGGTAGAAGTTTCATTTTTTGCGACCTGTGGCAAACAACGCATTTTAATTCAATTCAAGTTGATTAAAAATTCATTTAACATTAAATATGAACTCAATCGAATTGTAACTGTAAATAGTCGAGTTCAATGAGAATCAATAAAAAACGTGACATTTGACAAGCTTAGCAAAAAGTTGATTGGCTGGAAAATGGCGAACTTAAACGGGACACAACATACGAGTGTGTGCTTGAATTACCAATACATAGGCAGGTGAAGCGGAAACGGAAGTTGCTACAAAGTCCGTTGAAATCAATTTTAAAAGAGAACTTGTTAGGAGCAAAGCCGAAACAACAGAATGCCAACGGAAACCGAATGGCTTGGGTTTCAGTCCAGAGAAGAAAGGGAAAACTAATTGCAGTGCTCATTTTTTCTTGTTAATGGGCCTGCAAACGAGCTTCGAGTTTCCCTCCTTCTATCGATCCTTGCACACACACACATACGCACACACATTCACACATGCTTACATCCTTGTATCCACACACATGTGTTTTGGCTTGTGCCATCGGAAAAAGTTTTTCCCCCCAATTTTATTTGCCTCATTTCGCTGCCATTGTTGCCGCTCGTTGAAAATCTGCGTGCGCAAGTAACAACATTTTACAGCCGCAATTAAAGTTAGTTAGCACACCGCCTTCAGCCCGTTTTTCCCGCATTTGCCGCCGCTTTCCCTACAACCAGCAAATGCACTGCACTTTAATTAACCCAACACCAGGGGAGCAACCCAGAAATTATACATCCCATTCGCTTTCCACCCAGCTAATGGCAATTTATGTGCGATAATTTGTGGTTTGAACACCATAAAAATAAGTGCGACGGCTCGAATAACAATCAACTAAATGAGAAATACTCCAAAGCGAAGAAATGTATTTTTTATGGATTTAATTTTATTGTATTAAATGCTTACTGCTCACAAAAAAAAAAACTAAACCATAAAACTCCCACTTTGTTTGCTTTTTATATGCCACGTTTTTTCATGTATTCAATGCTCTTAGCTAGAAGCTAAGAAAATGACTTTAAATAGTTCTAATTCACTGAAGTGTTGAATGCCAAGGCATTGAATGCAAACAAGTTACGCTTAAAAGGCATTCGTGTGCATTAGAGTCAATTACGAGGGATTGCAGTGCCCACGCAGTGAAGCTAAAGCCAGAGGCAATCAGCATTATCAAAGGCTTTTAATTGTCATAAATCTGCGAAAGTTGTTAAAAACCCATTTAAAATTGTCACACTCAAACGGCTCAGTGGCATTTAACCAACTATCTGCCACAGCCCATTCCATTACATTCCATTCCATCCCTTTCCTTGCCAGCCAACTGGTGCGCTTTATTTTCTTGGCTCGATGGCTCCTTCTTTTAGCCAAGTTCACTGGCAGCCTGCCAGGGATGTTAATTAGAAAACTCTTGAAAATTATTAAAAACTTTGCAAAGCTGTCAGACAGACAGACAGATGAGAGCTGAAGAGATACCAGTGGTAAAATATAACTTCAAATAGTTGCCAACTCGGTGGAAAATGGTTTTCAGAAATTTCATAGCTCCTTTTTGATGGCTGCTCGAAGTATGTTTTACTCGAGAAATTACTTTTGAAAGGAGGGCGGAAGAGTTTAATATTGTTTGTGAAGCGGCATAAATCCGAACTTTTATTTAATTAAATATAATCAAAGATCTCCGACGTCTTTCCAGATCAACCTAGGCGGCTGCCGCATTTCAAATTTCACAACTTGGCTCAATTTGCGTAGTCTGAATTACATTATCGCTTGTTGACATACCCAACGCCACACCCCTTTACAAACTTGCCCATCGGCCAGTTCTAATGAATCTGTATACAAATTGCCTCTGTTTCTGAATTTGATTCGGATTCAGTCTCCGGCATCTGCATGCCACTTAGCACCTTTTATTAGTGCCAATTAAGACTCATTTCACGATGCGTTCCGTTTGCGTTTCACTTGCTTCTCCGACGAGATTACAGACCCAGACTGCCCCAAACTAGATAATCAACCGCATAGAATTTGTGGCGCGGTTCTGACACTGAATCCGAGCATCCGAGTTTCCAGGTATCTCGATTGCGGTTAGTTAAACGCGGTGTCTCAAAGTGCACAGTTCTCGGCATGGCGCAGCTAGAGATTTCCACCAAGTCCAAGGAAAAACCAGCGGAAAACACAGCGGAAAAACCAGCGGAGCAGTGGGGAAACGGTCTCGAGTTTCTCTTCTCCTGCATTTCATTATCCGTGGGATTGGGGAATATCTGGCGTTTTCCCTACATTGCCTTCCAGAATGGCGGCGGTACCTTTGTGATTCCCTACCTGATTGCCCTGCTGGTAATTGGACGGCCCGTCTACTATCTGGAGATTTCCCTGGGCCAGTTCACGGGTCGTGGCGTGGTCAAGGCCTTCGATATGGCTCCCCTGCTCAAGGGCGTGGCGGTGGGCCAGGTCCTGGCCACAGCCGCCTCCATCACATACTACTCCAGCATCATGGCCTTGACTCTGAGATTCCTGCTGGCCTCCTTTGGCTCCGAGCTGCCATGGAGTAGGTGCTGGGAGAGCTGGGGCACCGACTGCCACGACGGCAATGCTCAAAATAGCAGTGGAAAAATGTCGCCGGCACAGCTGTACTTTGAGCAAGTACCTCCACTTTTAATTCATTAATTCATTCAAGTAGTTGTTGACAGCATTTTATGAAACTAATTAAGATAAGCAGAGGATTTCCACTGCTAATTCGCTTGCTAATATCATTAGTAAAATCAAAGTTAGTTTAAGTGAGTTAATATTAAGTGCATTCAAATTATTTTAAATTATTTTCCCTTTCAGACGCGAGATCCTCCATGAGGTGCCCAATATAGACAACGGACTGGGTCTGCCCAACTGGCAACTGGTGGCCTGTTTGGCGGTGGCTTGGCTGGTCATCGGAGGAGTCCTCATCCGAGGCATTAAGAGCAGTGGCAAGGCGGCCTATTTCCTAGGCGTCTTTCCCTATGTGGTGCTGCTCATCCTGCTCCTGAGAGCCGTAACCCTGCCAGGAGCCATCGATGGCATCATATACTTCTTCAAGCCGCAGTGGCGGGAGCTGCTGAACCCACTGGTTTGGTACGCAGCCGTGACACAGGTGTTCTTCTCCCTGGCCATTTGTTTTGGCACTTTGATCACCTATGCCAGCTACAACAACTTCAACCGCAATGTGTACAAGTGAGTTTATGGACTCCCTAATAACTAAGATAACAGAATAAGATAAGATACTCGTGCAGAGTGAAAGCCAGAATGCATATTCCATTATCAATTTCATTTCGAAATCTAAAGCTAAGCCAAGAGATTTATTCAAGCAATGGGCTTACCACCGCTCCATTCCACAGTGACATTGTGATAATCACCACCATGGACTCCTGCTCCTCCATAATTGCTGGGTGCATCACCTTTGGGATTCTGGGGAATCTGGCACGCGAGACCGGCAACTCGGATATTGGCAGTGTGGTGAAGGGCGGCGCCGGATTAGCCTTCATCTCGTATCCGGAGGCCATTGCCAAGTTCGAGTATGTGCCACAGGTAAGGTATCGAGAAGAGCCAGCGCCATGGGCGCCCTAAAGCACAACTACCTAAAGATGTTCGCGGTCCTTTTCTTCCTCATGCTATTCGTCCTAGGCATTGGCAGCACCGTGGGCATGGGATCCTGCATCCTGCGCGTCATCCGGGATCAATTCGGCTTACGCTCCGCGTCCATTTGGAAACTTGCCAGCGGACTGGCTGTTTTGGGCTTTTCTGTGAGCATCGTTTACATGACCCCGGGCGGTCAGTTTATCCTGAACCTAGTGGATTTCTATGGTGTGTCCTTCACCGCTTTGATCCTGGCCATTGGCGAATTGGTGGCTGTTGCTTGGATTTACGGTAACTTCATATACTCGTATCCATCTTGGGATAAGCTATTGCTACAGTTCCCTTTTGTTTTACTTTTTTAGGAGTTAATCGCTTTTGCGAGGACATCAAGTTTATGATGGGCATTGAAACGGGTTGGTACTGGCGCCTCTGCTGGCGTTTCATTACTCCTGGCTTGATGACCGCCGTGCTCATCTACATGCTCCTCGACATGTCCGCTCTGGAGTACAAGGGTGTGGGCTACCCCACCTTGGCGCACGGTAGGTCATCATCTTCCTGTACTTTCATTTTGTTTAAGGGGTTAATACTGTCCTGGCTTTCCTCTCTCCCTACCAACAGTTTTTGGCTGTTTTCTGGCTACCTTGGGGCTGATTCAACTACCCGGCTGGGCCCTCTATGCCATCTATAAAAAGCGTGGCCAGAACGGCAGCTTCTGGCAGGTAAGTTCTTGCCCCTTTCCACGGACTTTTCACCCCTTTTCCGTATTTCAGAGAGTACGTGCCGCTTCCAAGCCGACGGACACTTGGGGACCGGCCAACGTTCAGCTGGATGCCACCATATAGAAAATTAGCTCGGTACCCAGCACTGCGTATACGTAATGGGTCTAGTAGTCAGGGGCATTATTATTTGATATGGCCTAGATGAAAATGGGTAGAATAAAGTGAAATATATGGGGCTCGTGGAGCCAAAAACAAAAGCGGGCTTATTCTGGCGGAACAATTTAACTGCCCGAAGGAGTTGAGCTGGCGAAAGGAGCTAGTCGAGGAGGAGCAACTGCAGGCACTTTTAATTACCTCTGGGCAGAGCTCCAGCTGGGCGTGGCAGTTGCACTGCTTCTTGGTTTCTGTTGGTGTTTGTGTTAGTCCGCTTGGCATGTCAGTCATGTCAGCAATGCGGAAATGCGCAAATACTAAATGAAAACAAGCAGCGATGCTAGCTTTCCTTACGCCGAATCTTAAAATA